ATTCAAGCAAAAATCAAGCATGTCTCCCTTCTTACGCTTCTGCCTGCGGCCTGCTTCCAGTTCAGCTCTCTCTCTCACACTGCCTTTTGTCTTTCTCGCTACCAGCCAGGCGAGGGAGGGAGACCCACCCATTTGCCCTTCCTTTCTTATACCAGCGATCCATACATAGTGGGAAGGTAAACGGCATTTCCGTGAGCTGCTCTGGTTCGCCAGAAGCGGCTTAGTCATGCTGGCCACATGACCCGGAAGCTGTACGCCGGCTCTCTTGGCCAATAAAGCGAGATGAGCGCCGCAACCCCAGAGTCGTCCGCGACTGGACCTAATGGTCAGGGGTACCTTTACCTTAGGTTGGTGGCTATCACTGCCTCCTGTGGAAACAAGTTCCATAGTTTAACTAGGTGCTGTGCATGAAGATGTGCTGTCTTTTATCTGCACTGAATCTTCTGGCGTTCGGCTTCAGAGCAGAGTGCAACCAACCGCAGCAGAGCAGCCTTTCCAAAGTCAAAGTCCTCCATGATGTCAGATAGGCAACTTTTTCATTTTCTGTTTCTTTCAACGTAGAGGCAAACAAAGAAATGCCGGCAGTGGTTTAATCCCCAATGATGCAACAAGCTGATCGATACAGAAGTGCCTCACCGCCGATTAGCACGAGAATAAACTCGCTTTCTATCTGAAAAGGCTGGCTGTATGCAGAAGGACCCAGGTTCCCCGGAAAAGTTCTCAGGTCTCAGGTGCTGTGAACTGCCTGAAACCCTGGAGCTGCTGCATGTCAGAACAGGCAATGGAACATTGGTCTAACTCGGAAAAGACGGCATCATCTCTTCATAGGCAACTACTGACTTTGCTGTGGAACATTAAATGTTGAGCTTTGGTGCTGGAAGTCCATTGGGGAGTTTCTTGAACCTTGTATTATCATGACCTCACTCTGCCAACAAATGCTTCTGTTTATTTTAAGACATTTCATGTTCTGCTTTTCTTGGAATGATCAGTGAGGCTTGCACACACGCATAAAAGTAATGTGAAAGAGGCGCAAGGCTCTGGTGGGCCCTAGAGCCCTCACATCTCCTTTTCAAAGCTGGGAAAGCACTAACTAGGCTTTGGGACTAGCAATGACAAACCTAGACAGCATCTTAAAAAGCAGAGACATCACCTTGCCAACACAGGTCCGTATAGTTAAAGCTATGGTTTTCCCAGTAGTGATGTATGGAAGTGAGAGCTGGACCATAAAGAAGGCTGATCGCCGAAGAATTGATGCTTTTGTGCTGGAGGAGACTCTTGAGAGTCCCATGGACTGCAAGAAGATCAAACCTACCCATTCTTAAGGAAATCAGCCCTGAGTGCTCACTGGAAGGACAGATCCTGAAGCTGAGGCTCCAATACTCGCCAATACTCCAATGACTCGCCAGAGTGGTGTATTCTCTAGTTATCTCCCGCTTGGACTACTTCAATTCGCTCTACGTGGGGCTACCTTTGAAGGTGACTCGGAAACTGTAACTAATGCGGCAGCTAGACTGGTGACTGGGAGCAGCCGCTAAGACCATATAACACCGGTCCTGAGAGATCTGCATTGGCTCCCAGTACGTTTCTGAGCACAATTCAAAGTGTTGGTGCTGACCTTTAAAGCCCTAAACAGCCTCAGCCCAGTATAACTGAATGAGCGTCTCCACCCCCATTGTTCAGCCCTGACACTGAGTGAGTGCCAAGGGCCTTTTGGCGGTTCCCTCGCTGCGAGAAGTGAGGTTACAGGGAACCAGGCAGAGGGCTTCTCGGTAGTGGCACCTGCCCTATGGAATGCCCTCCCATCAGATATCAAGGCAATAAGCAACTATCTTACTTTTAAAAGACATCTGAAGGCAGCCCTATTTAGGGAAGTTTTTAATGTTTAATGCTGTATTGTGTTTTTAATATTCAGTTGGGAGCCACCCAGAGTGGCTGGGGAAACCCAGCCAGATGGGCGGGGTATAATAAGGATGATGATGATGATGATGATACAGTAATGGATGATGGACACTTTAGTCCAGCAATGTCTGGAGGCCACCAGCTGGGGAATGACTGCTTCACTCTCGTGAGAACAATGGCAGCTAAACTTTGTACCAGCTGCAACTCCCAAATATTTTTGTCAGTGAAGGGGGAATGAAGGATGCTTCCATGTAGGAGCTGATCTTTAAATGTCCCTTGGCCATTCACGTGGCATGTGAGGTATTGCAAAGCGTCATCTTCAATTGTAGGCGTAAATTAACAGAGAACATGATAAAAAGATCATTATTAAGCTCATCTCACTTCCACTCTGCAATGCAACACCTTTGCAGCAGCTGTTAACACACTTCTTTTCAGGTTAAGTGGAGGGTAGTCATTGGTTCAGAGCATGATGCTAAGCTACTGTTCAAGCTAAGCAGCAACACAGGAAAATACAGAAGGCTAGGAGACTCTTGAGAGTCCCATGGACTGCAAGAAGAACAAACCTATCCATTCTGAAGGAAATCAGCCCTGAGTGCTCACTGGAAGGACAAATCCTGAAGCTCCAATACTTTGGCCACCTCATGAGAAGAGAAGACTCCCTGGAAAAGACCCTAATGTTGGGAAAGACGGAGGGCACAAGGAGAAGGGGACGACAGAGGACGAGATGATTGGACAGTGTTCACAAAGCTACCAGCATGAGTTTGACCAAACTGCGGGAGGCAGTGGAAGACAGGAGTGCCTGGTGTGCTCTGGTCCATGGGGTCACGAAGAGTCGGACACGACTAAACGACTAAACAGCAACAATAATGTAAGTCATTACTAGCACCCAGAGGCACAAGGTTGCACCCAACATTGGGGAAACCCATTGCATGTGTGTGACCTCACAAACTGGCGCATATGGCTATGGGAGAAGCAAAGCCTTCTTGGGGTGTTAATGCGGCAAGCTCCTCCACTGTAGGCTCAGGTTGCATATATGTGTAAATAAACCATAAATCCTAAAGACACCACTCAAAAATGTGTACTAGGAGAAATCTGCACAAGATGCTGATCAATTTTCACGTGGACTGTAAGGAACAAACAGAATGCAGACAGATGTGGAAATGTGGTGATTGGAACTTAAAAAACAGGAGAAATAGGAAACTGAGAGAAACCAAAATCGATCGATTAACCCATCCCTAGTTGTAAGTTACATTGCTTACTATTGCTACTAAACGGTGAAAGTTTGGGAAGAACCTGGAATTTGTACCCTGTACAACATGTGACCCAACAGGAGCTAAGGCAGAAAAGCGGTGTTGCCATATTCCAAAGCGCAAAAACCTGGACACATCTAGGGCACGCACCCCCCCACCATCCTGCATCTCCGTCGCTTGCCCCCTCCCTGCCGCTGACCCCTTCCTCGTCCGCCTGCTTGCGCCCTCCTTCCTTCCCCTCTCTTCCCTTTGCTGTCTTTGCCCTCGTGCTCATGAGACACTGCGTCTCCAGACGATGGGAGGCCGGAGGCCTGTGCAAGGCCTGGAGGCCAGAGGAGTCATCACCAGACCTAGCGCAGCCCCCAAAATTAAAAAAGTTATTTAACGTAAAATACAAAAATCCGCCCACAGGAGCATGCTGGGCCCCCAAAAGAAGCCATGTCCGGGAAAACCTGGATTTATGGCAAGCCTAAGGAAAGGCCCTACCCTGCCCAATTACCTCAGCAATTGGGACCTAGCATCAGCCCACCTGTTGTTGTTGTTCTTGGTCGTTAATTAGCATTTATACCCTGCCCTTCTACTATAAAGTAGCTGGAGCAGCTTGCAGAAAAGAATAACCAGAAAAGTTAAGATGTTTAAAAAAAGAAATAACGGGTTTTGCTTACGGGGGACCAGACATGCTACACAATGCCCTCTTAATATGCCCAGAGGCACTTGTTTTACCTTTAACGGGCACATGAGGCAGCAGTTCTCGCCAAAGGGTTGCAGGTAGGGCGGAGGGCCCAATCCAGGACACCGGACCTGGAAAATTCTGTCAGCACATAATAATTCCCAGTAAGCCTTGGCAGCCAGAGTTTGTCTTTATTTGCACATATAAATATAAATTATCACGTGTCACATTGTGTTAAGGTCCTGTGTATACCCAAACTATTTTAAGCACCTAGCAGCGCTCCTCCTCAGTGGTGAGCGGGCTGTGACCCAGAAACAGGGACTCATCACCACTTAGCTTATTTTGACTGAGGACTGTAGCTTCCAGTGTTGGGTCCCCAGCAGTTGTAGAACTACAACTCCCATCATCCCTGACCGCTGGCCCTGCTAGCTAGGGATGATGGGAGTGGTAGTCCAACCACAGTTGGGGTTTGAGAAACACCGGAAAGGACTGCGGTTCAATGCCAAAGCACCTGTTTTGCGTGCAGAATGCCCCTTATTTATTTATACCCCAGCATCTCCAGATTGGCTCCTGCTATTTGCAGCCCTACAGAGCCGCTGTCACTCAGTGTGTAGACAATAGTGAGCTTAGATGGGCCAGCAGCTTGAGTCAGGATGAGGTAAACTTCATGTGCTCCTATGGCTTTGCCCAACAACTTGATCTCTCTTTCTCTCTCGATCTCTCTCTCTCTCCCTCCCTCCTGAGGAACAGTCTTCAGAGTGCACCTGTAGAACAAAGCAGTCTCTGGCTGTTGTGACCTGGGTGCTAATTCTGACACTGGCACCTGCTATTCCAGGCGTAGGAGGAAAGCTGCAAACGTTCCTGTCTAAATTGCCATTCTAGCAACTCCTCAGCTCCTTGAAAGCCGGCTTCTATAACTCATTGTTTTGCACCACGCTGCCCACTTGCTAATTTACTTTCCACCTCCCAATATGTGTGTGTGTGTGTTTCCTGAAATAATAAACACAAAATATTCTATTTTAGCATTGAAGGCACTGACAAAGTTCACAGCATGGACAACAAACATAGTGCAAAAGGGAGTCTATAGTGGCCCCCTTCTTAAGAGGTGTGGGCTGATGTGCTTTCTCTTTTTTTGCACAGTAAGTAATGTAATATATCACAGGATCTGAGGGAAACGGTTTTTGTTAGAGCAGAATGTGCTTGTCAGCAGGGGAGGGCCGCAACTATAGAGCCGCTCGCAGGGTCACGTGACCGCTTATTCTCGTTGCCTCTGAAAAGGTCTTTGCAGAAGTGAAAGAGCTTAGCCGTATACTGCCAAAAAGTCATGCACGCTTAGAAACATGCCGAGGTGCGGGAAAGAGGGAGAGGCTTAAGGCAGTGCCAGGGAGCTGAGAGAGAGAGAGAGAGAGAGAGAGAGCGACCCAAGACCTGAAAGCCTAAATGAGCCAGAGAATGGAAGACCAGGTGAGGATCCCACCTGGGGCGACGGGACTTTACAGAGCAATGCTAGTCAAATCAGGTAAGTGCAAACATGAGGGTGCTTTCTGAGCAGCACAGTGCAAGATATCTATACGACACTGGGTTTGTAGCAGAGCAGGCACACACCCACACCTATTTTCTTTCAATCAAACAGGGATTGTAGATCTCACACTGCCTAGGAATTTCTCCCTTGGATTGCAGAATCTTTGTATACGAATGGGTCCCCCTTTTGTTTCTCGTCGTCCGCTGAATTTCGCTATCCTGAGATGTTCGATTTTGGTGGCAGATACTTTTAAATCTTTCTCAGCTGCAGAAGATTTCACTGTGCATAGTTGTAGCATTACACAACTTGAAAACTTATCAGGCTAATTGCATTTAGAAAGATATTTTCTTTCTTTCTTTCTTTCTTTCTTTCTTTCTTCTTTCTTTCTCTTTCTTTCTTTCTTTCTTTCTTTCTTTCTGGAAGACTGCCAGCAAATAAACCCTTGCTGAACTTTCTGTGACAATTTGCTCTGCGCTGTCAGCTGGGGCTGAGGGAGTGGACCCTGTTTCTGCGAGGTGTCTAGTTAATTACCTAATTAATGATGACGCGATGATGCAAATCGGTAGTTTTTGTATTGTTCCCGGACACCCGTCACCGCTTAGCAAAAGTAAATAGTTGTTTTGATCATTTAGATTACATAGTATTTCTTCATATTGAGTATATCGTATCAGCAGGACTGGAGAGATTCGTTTTATACTCTTTAGAGGTGGGGAATCAATATTGCTGCACTGCTTCGTTGCAGTTATATTTTTAGAAAAATATTGCTGGCTACTGGAGTGGTTTTGGTGAACAGTAGCATGCTTGACATTTCAGAGAGGCATTTAAAATCATTCGCTGTGTTAACTCATCAGGGGAAGGAGAAATATGTAACTTGGCATGTTTATATGACTGCTGTCTTTTAGACCTTTCTTTTCCCAGAGAAGATAGAGCTCTGCACTCACTTAAATAGGAAGTTGGATTGCACCGATATTAGCTAAGGATGGGTTCCCATGTGCATAACCTGGTTTAGCCAGGTGCGTGTGCAATAGGGTTTGATCTTCCTTTACCTCGAGACCTGATAAGGAGTAAGGACGATGACCCAAGATGAAGTCAGCCTCAGTTTCCAGACGCCTTGCTGCATTATGAATACGGGCAAATTAGATGTGGTTAATTATTTAATGTTTCACATGCGGACCACACAAAGGGGGCTCGGCCCTTCCTATGGGAGCTTTTGTTCCTGAAAAAAAGGGCATCGCCTGACATTCGGGTGAGTGATGGGAGAGCAAATGGTGTCCGGTCAAAAGTTATGCTCAGTTTTTTTGCTGGCAGATAACAGGCATGGTGTGGGAATCTCTGCGCAAGCCAAACTCCCACAAGCTGCTGAAGCAAAAGCTCTGTGATTAAAGGAATAGCTCAGAGTCACTGTTGGCTTAAATGGGCATATCGTGCAAGAAGTTTGGAGATGATTGGATAGGCAATTAATTGCAGAGACAATTGGTAGAAAAGAATTAAGGGTCACCCAGGTTTGCATCAGCCTACCTAATCCCCAAACTCATGCGACTCCATGCCTACAAGAAATTCCTTATTCAGGGAATTAGGAAGAGGAGTGACTGTACTTGCACAGGGCTGCCCAAGAATTGAAGTGGACAGGAAAACCCATGCATGTAGGAACTCTTCTGTACACACTGAAAAGCACGTAAAGCTTTGGCCTGGAGTCCGTGTAGTTCAGTTCACAAGCGTGGAATCTGGTTCCTCATTCAGTATCTGTCCTGAAAATCAAAGCTTTGGTTTTATTTATTTTTTAAAGAAAAGAATCAAGGTCCTAGACCTCATGATTGCAAAGAAATATTGTTCATGGTACAGTGGTACCTCGGGTTAAGTACTTAATTCATTCCAGAGGTCCGTTCTTAACCTGAAACTGTTCTTAACCTGAAGCACCACTTTAGCTAATGGGGCCTCCCGCTGCCGCCGCACCGTCGGAGCACAAATTCTGTTCTCATCCTGAAGCAAAGTTCTTAATCCGAGGTACTATTTCTGGGTTAGTGGCGTCCGTAACCTGAAGCGTATGTTACCTGAAGCGTATGTAACCTGAGGTACCACTGTATTTGATTAGCAAATACTCCAAAGCTAGAGTAGGAATGTACCTTAGGAGACAAGGCATTAACTGTTTCTCCTAGTCCTTTATCAGGCTGAGTATATAAGGTACATTTAAAGCACATGGATCTCCCCCCCAAAGGATCATGGGAGCTATAGTTTATCCCTCGCAGAGCTACAACTCCAAGCACCCTTAACAAACTCTCCCCATAGGTTATAGTGGCAAATTACCTCAGTCCCCATGCATTCATCCCATTGCTTTTCAAAATAAATAAAAAAGTTCAAAATGTTGGCTGTGCAACAAGGTAAGTAAACAAAAGAAGAAGTAAATTTATGCAAGTGTTCTTAATTTGCAAAATTTATTGGGGGCAAAAACTCCAGGTTGCAATTCTGTTCATCATCATCATCATTATTTATTAAATTCGTATACCGCCTTTCTTCTAAAGATAACAGGACAGTTTACAACATAAAAAAAAAAATACAAAATGCATAGCATAATAACAACCCCCACCCACAAACACATTTAAAAGGCCATGTATGATTTAATCAGCCAAGGCCCTGCTATGAAAGCAGTATTTTCACCTGATGCCTAATTTTTCGTAACTTTTGAGCATTTCCAAACTCTTCCTTGTTCACAGATTCTTTTGCTCGCAGAATACAACGGTTTCTCACCCGTGTTCCAAACCTCCTACCAGCTCCCTGCCTCTCTCCAGCACAGCCCTGCAATCTTCTATATCTCCCTTTCCAAAACGGGACCACAGGACATCCAGCTGCCAGAGGTCTGGTTGCATGCAGCCTAATTAAGAGACTAAAAAGGGCCCCGTTTCGGGATCATACGAAAGGCCCATCAATTCCACCATACAGTTCCCCACACGGTTGCCAATTAGATACTGCTGGGAAGCCCTCAAGCAGCACTCTTGCTGGCCGTTGCTTCCCACTGAGTGATATACTAACTCTGAAAATGGAGGTTCCATTTTGCCGCTGCGACTGACAGCCGCCGATAGACTCATCCTCCTCCACCATCACTCATGTGTCTTATCCCCCTTTAAAGCCATCCAAGCTAGTCACCAGCAGCAGCAAATTCCGTACATTAGTTTGAAGGAAACAGGGCAACGTCGGATATTGCCTTATAGCTCAATATTGCCCACACTGACTGGCAATGGGCATACCTGAAGGAGGGTCTCCACCCCCATCATTCAGCCCGGACAGTGAGATCCAGCGCCGAGGGCCTTCTGGCTGTTCCCTCATTGGGAGAAGTGAGGTTACAGGGAACCAGACAGAGGGCCTTTTCGGTAGTGGCACCCGCCCTGTGGAACGCCCTCCCATCAGATGTCAAGGAAATAAACAGCTATCTTCTCTTTAAAAGACATCTGAAGGCAGCCCTGTTCTTCCTAGGGAAGTTTTTAATATTTAATGCTGTATTGTTTTTATTATTTATTATTTAGGGTATAAATAATAAATTATTATTATTATTATTATTATTATTATTATTATTATTAGGCAGCTTTCCAGGGTTCCAGCCAGGATTTCCCCAGTCTTCCTCACCTGGAGATGCCAGGGACTGAACCTTTTTCATGCAAGGCAAATGCTGTACCACTGAGCCACACAGTCGGTATAAAATATTTCCACATTAATAATAATAAGAAGAAGAATAAGAAGAATAAGAATAATTTATTTGTACCCTGCCCATCTGGCTGGGTTTCCCTAGGTGCTCTGGGCGGCTTCCAACAAAGATTAAAAATACATTAAAATGTCACACATTAAAACTTCCCTAAACAGGGCTGCCTTCAAATGCCTTTTAAAAGTCAGATAGTTGTTTATTTCCTTGACATCTGATGGGAGGGCGTTCCACAGGGCGGGCGCCACTACCAAGAAGGCCCTCTGCCTGGTTCCCTGTAGCTTTGCTTCTCGCAGTGAGGGAACTGCCAGAAGGCCCTCAGCGCTGGACCTCAGCATCCGGGCAGAACCGATGGGATGGAGATGCTCCTTCAGGTATAAGCGGCTCACCATGCAGATCAAGGGATATCTGCCATGTCACCCCAGGGATGGGGCTTTTATTGTTTTTGTTTGTTTGTTTTACTACTTTTAATGATGCGGGGAAATTGTCCCTTTTCCTCTGTGTGTTAAGATCATGTTAAGACCTTCAGGTGGCAGCCCTAATCAGATAATGTGAGAATGTCTTGGCCTGTGGTGTGTGTTAGTTCCGCTGTTCAGTGCATTCGCCGTCTGAGGTAAAGAAACGCTGTTACTTATCCTCAGCCTTTGCTTTAAAAGGTCCACTGGTACCATCCAGAGACTACAACTCCCATCATTCCTGAGCATTGGCCATGCTGGCAGGGGCTGATGGGAGCAGGGCCGTCTTAACCATTGGCGTAGGGTGCACAGCCCAGGCGCCGGGCTCTCAGGGGCGCCAGGCTGAGAGTCCGGGGCCGAGCATTGCATTCCAGGGAAGAGCCACTGACAGCCGAGCAGAGCCCGTCAGAGCACCGCAGGCTCTTTTCCTGTGGGCGGCTCTTCCTCCAACACTCGCCCCCGAACTCACGCCAAGCCGCGCACAGCAGAAGAGCCCGCGGCGCTCCAACGGGCTCGGCTCGGCTCGGCTGTTGGCTCTTGCCCCAGCTGCATGGCGGCTAACTGTTTCAGCGCTGCGCCCGGAGCGCCGTATAACATTGTGGGCGCTGCATGATGCATCCTGTTGCATGTGCCAAGCTGTGGGTTCCTTTGCTGGCTTTTCCACTGTCGGCGCACTCTCCCAGCGCCACCCAACGTGGGGTGCCAGCGTGAGAATGCAAGTGGCAGCGGAAGAAACATCTCCAGACGGGATCTGCCGCATGCCAACAGTGCCGCCGGCAGCAAAAAATCGCAATGAATAGGAGCATGCGGATCCTGTCCAGAGATCTTTCCTCCACTGCCACTTGCGTTCTGCGCTGTCACCCCACATTGGGTGGTGCTGGGAGCATGCGCAGACAGCGGAAAAGCCAGCAAAGGAACCCACAGCTTGGCGCACGCAACAGGATGCGTCGTGCAGTGCCCACAACGTTACACGGTGCTCCGGGTGCTGTGCGTGCAGCCGAAACAGCCACCATGCAGCGGGGGGAGTGAGGCAGCGGGTGAACAGCAACCTGGGGCGCTGGGCGGATCTTTGCACCCAGCGCCGCAAAAGCTTAAGACAGCTCTGGATGGGAGTTGAAGTTCAACGAAATCTGGAGGGCACCAGTTTGAAGAAGGCTGTGGCGCATTTCTGTTAGCATGCCTAAGACAGGTGTGTTACTGAGGCACTAAATGAAGCACAGAATATAAAGTATGTCTCTGGCAGCATACGCACCCTACCTTTAGAGCACATGGCTTCCCCCAAAGAACACTGGGAACTGTAGTCCTCACGGAGCTACAATTCCCAACACCTTTAACAAACTACCGTTCCCAGGATACCTTGTGGAGATGCGCTTTAAATGTGCTTAAAAGTATGGTTTGTACACAGGTTCAATCTAACAATGAGGCTGGGCAGGAGGTTGCCTAGATTGCAGGTTATTTCACATTTCTCGCCTTCAGTATTTTCAAAAAAGGCATTAATATTGAGGTTTGGGCATTATGATAACTTTAAAAGCAAGGGGATTAATCGACTCTTCAGTTGGCAAACCACCCTAGCCCTAATCTTTCAGAAATCCGACTCTCTTCTTTGCTGGTCTGCAAATACAATAAGGCTGCAATCCTAAACACGTTTTACTAGGCCGTAGGCCCCATTGTACAAAGCACGTTGGCTTGCACTGTGGAAACTGCAAAGCAGAACCTTCAGAAACAATGGGGGGGATTGTGTGCTGTGAAGTTTCGCCTCTTTTGTGTCAGCTTGCGGAATGGAAATGAAATAAATTATCAGCCACTCCTCAGCCGCATGAAAACTATCTCTTGGCATTTGGCTTTTTGACACAGTGGAATGTGTATCCTGTTTGCAGACTTGAAAACATGTCTTAAGAGTCCAGATGCACTTGGTGCCCCCAAAATCATATGGGTTTTTATCACCAGCCCCCCACAGTAACCCACTTACCTGACCACGAAATGTGGAATTAAGGACCAGGGTCCTGCCTTTGACCACATACTCAAAATTTGATTTTACTACCAAACTGGCCTCTTACCCAGTTGCAGCCTGTTATATAAGGGCCTTGGCTCCATGGGGGGAAAGCCCTCTCCATCCTAGGCCGGTCTGTTTGGGAATTCCCCCAACTGGTCACAAAGGAGGGCAGGACAGCCCGTCATCAGCTGGAATTCAGGTTGGCCGATCATTGGCCAGAGAGGACAAGGCTTGAGTGATGGACCAAAATGAAGTCCTCACCATCTTAATTTAAAAGGGGGGGACACGGCCCTTTTTTCATTTTGGCCATCTCTGCCTTTATTCATTCATTAAATTTCCATCAAAGGATCCCAGGCTGGCAAACCTCAGAGCTGAAGGCAATTAAAACAGAGTATAGTTAAAATAAAACGTATTTAAAATATTTAGAACATCTCTGAAAGTTTAGAAACAATCACATACCCCCACCATTATGAATTTCATGGTTGCCATGGCTGTGTCTATCAGCCGTCAAATGCCTGGGTAAACAGGAATGTTTTTAAAAACCACTTGGAGCCACTGCCAAGAAGACCCTGTCGCAGAGGAAATCCATCCAGGCCGTAACTTGAGGCATCACCACCAAGAGGGCCTCTCCTGATAGTTGTAGGGCCTGAGGTGGTTGATATTTAAACAATCCAATTTGCTAATCTGCTGCAAATCCTTTAGAGATCAGTCAGTAGATCCTGATCTACCCATACCATGGATTGTGAGACTGAGCTGCTAACTAAACCAATTAGGAGTATTCTATGGGATTTACTTCTAAGTATACATGGTTAGTTAGGATCATGCTGTAAGTCAGCCATTCCCAATTGTACTGTAACTGAGTTGGGCTTCAGCAGACTTGTAAAACAGAGATATTCTTCTACACCTTCAAAATCTCCACAGTGCTTGGTATTCCTGCTTTTCAAGAGGAGGGGAGGCACTGTCCTTCGTTCTCTCTCACTCACTCTCTCTCTCTTTATTTCTAAAATCCATTTTATTTGGACAAGGCTTTTTTGACAGAGTTCGGAAAATATCAGATTTGGTCACCGAAACCTTGAAAAGGAGGAGGGAGAGTTCAAGTTGGCATGGAAACCCTTTTGTATTTAATATCTGTACTTTGGCAGGCAAAATGCTACTTTTGTTTAATGACCCACTGTAATGTCAGCTTCTTGGAAACACCAACTGTGTTAGTCAAGGAGAAAAGATTCCAAGTCTCACTTCTCAGGGACGTATATTGTCTCTGTACTTGAAGTAATGCCCCTTTCTCTGGAAAGTAACCTGAGAGCTTCAGTTTGCTGTTAAAGGAGAACTGGGGCGGCTGTTTCAGAAAGCACTATTGCAAAGGGCTTTACGACAGCATCCGCACGCCCTTTTCAGCCTCCAGAGACTGAAACAGGAGCATGGGGAGTTGTCTTAAAGGCCTTAGCAAAAATGGTATTTGAAGCAGTCCCAGGCTTCTCCTTTAAGAGAGCAGGCCAGGTACTGATGGTGGGGGAGAGAAGGCTCCTTTCTCCTCTCTTGTCACCCACCTACCCACTTGCTTAAAGCAGAACTGTTTCAAAGAGTGCTTTTGCAAAGAGCTTTAACGCTGATGAGCAGGGGTAAAATTCTGCCGCCTTGGCTGTTTCCTGCTGGGAACATGGTATGCAGCTAATGCAGGACTAAATCCTGACCTCCCACCCATAAACTGACCAGTGATGTCCGGGCAGGTGGGTGTGGTTTGGGGGAAATGGCCTTGCAGGCAAAATTGGACCTATTCTTGGGCAGTGTCCTGTGGATGACGGTTCCCCATCCCTAGTATACAGGATATCAGTGGAGGGACAGGGACTACTGGAGACATGGAAATAAACTAAAAATTAACGGACTGCATTCAAGAAGTTCATTGACAAGGTTGTGCAACAAGATATTAAGGGGACCGACTTCCAATTTAAGTTAAATCAAATAAAATGGTCTTGATTTTTGTCCAGTGGTGGTGTATCGCCTCTCAGCGGGGGAAGTCCTTTTCCCTTTTCTTTCTCTTCTTACAAATAATGAGGAAGATGCTCTATCGTAGCACTGTTTGCACTAGGCAATGAGGAGTACCACAGCCCTGGCTACTTATTTTGGTTGCAGCTTTTTTTAAGTAAGAACAACTGTGAAATAGCCTGTTGCTTCATCTGATGTGGTAAATCCACTCTCTCCAATATGGTAATTCACTCCCTCCAACGTTAGAATTTCGCCTTTGAGGGCTACTTTTGCTTCGCCCTCCTGAAGGCATAAAAAAAATCACTGTCCAATTACTTTAGTTTAGCGCTAATTTAAATAGTGGCTTCAGGCATATAGTGCTGAGTTACCCAGCAACACCCTACGCTGTGGCCAAAACCCTTCAGTATTGTTCAGTCACAATCAGCTCTGTTCAGCCAAGGTCCCCTGAAAAATTAATTAATAGCTTCCTCTTTGTAGCTTCTTGCCATTCTGTTGCTTCCTGTTCAGTATGACTGTGAGGAATAATGATTAAGTACTTCTTAATTAATAAGCTCCTCCACTGCGGTAGAGCTTTGACTACATCATCTTCCATTTTCCCCTTTTCTTAGGTAGCTAAAACAATATAATTTTGCTACAAAAGAAAGAAAACAAAATGTAATAAAAGAAAGCCAGCAGTTAAAGCTTCTCCGTGCAGCGAACAGAACCTGCCTCATTAAGGAGCAATTAGTCACTTATCGCCCAGCTATGCTGAACAGGAAACAATTAAAGGAGCAGAAACCAAGCTTTTAACTAAAGAAAAGTCTTCCCTAAAAAAATGTCAGCATGAGAGACAACGGATGAAATGGTGAAAACGGCAGTATGACATAAGACAGCATCCTATGCTCCTAAAGCAGTGGAAATGCAATTTGACAGCCATGGTGTGTTCTGGATTCTCGGTAAAAAAAGTTGAGTAAGTATAGCACTTCCAGAGAAAAGGTTAGTGTTGAAGCCACCTTCGTACCACAGTGCAAAATCCTGGTCAGCAACACATTTCTAAAGATATTAGCAGAGCTGTAGGCGGTATGGTTTAATACCTGAAAGTATCAGAGGAATTGATCGTCCTCCTAATTAAGAAAGATTTAAAGAAGTGGTGTTTTTAGCTTAGATAAAAAACATCAAGAATTAAATTCCCAGGTGTCAGAAAAGGTTATTTCTGTATGCAGCAACTGCGGCCCGTGTTTCGTTAGCCCCAAAATGGAAAATGAGCGAGGTCCCAACTAAAGAAGAATGGCAACTTCAAGTTGACAGAATATGCACAACTTGTAGGCTTAAACATATAGAATAAGAGAACATGAAGAGCATACGTTTAAAGAGGATTGGAAAAAGTTTGTTGAATACATGGGAAATAATTGTGTTCAGCTGAAAATGCTGGCAGCATTAAGATAAATTCAACAGTGTAAATAAGTTTTCATGGGTGTAATTATGGAAAACCAATTGGTATAGTTTTTGTAAAATATTCGAGGAATATAAGATATGCAAAATGAACCATGGAAAGAGAAGAAGGGAGGTCATTGATATCTTAAGTATGTAAAAATTTTATCTGAAATTGTAAAACAGAAAATTTAATAAAAATTGTATTTATTTCTTTTGAAAAAGAATGATGTAGAAAATTTGCTTAGGGAACATTTTTCATCCTCTGTCAAAGCACAAGAACTTGCGATTACTTAATAGAATTAACAGGCAACAGCTTTAAGCAAATGACAATGCTTCTTTATGCAGCCTATTTTTATCTTGCCACAAAACATGGAAGTGGCCTTTTTAGCATGATGCTTCTTTTTAGAAGGCTGGGGGGGAAATAGGTTCTTTTTTTAAAAAAAAATTTAATTGAATTATCTGCTGTGAGTCTGCCATCAGCAGCATAGCATCCTGAGCTGTTCCTCACAACTGTGGAGAAGCAGTTGCTGTGACATCATCACTCATGGGTTGGGTTTGAGCACAACCCTTCTAATACCTCAGTATATAAATAGGTGGGGTTGTGGGTGGCGCTGTGGTCTAAACCACTGAGCCTCTTGGGCTTGCTGATTGGAAGGTTGGCAGTTCAAATCCACGCGACGGGATGAGCTCCTGTTGCTCTGTGTCAGCTCCTGCCAACCTAGCAGTTCAAAAGCATGCCAGTGCAAGTAGATAAATAGGTACCACTGCGGCAGGAAGGTAAACAGCTTTTCCGTGCACTCTGGTTTCCGTCATGGTGTCCCGTTGCACCAGAAGCGGTTTAGTTATGCTGGCCACATGACCTGGAAAGCTGTCTGTGGACAAACGCCAGCTCCCTTGGCCTGAAAAGCGAGATGAACGGCGCAACCCCATAGTTGCCTTTGACTGGACTTAACCATCCAGGCGTCCTTTACCTTTTTACCAATATAAATATGTGTGTGGCAGCATGCAGAGGTGAATTTGACTCAGGGCAGTGTCAACTGCCTTGCCATGGTCTGATTTTGCTGAAAACTCAGCACAGGTTGGATTTCCCCAAAGACCTACCACACTGAGTGGTTCTTGACCAGAACACTTGGATGTGCACATGTGCTGAGAGAACTGCATTGGCTGCCAATCAGCTATTGGGCCAGTTCCGGGCCTTGTTGCTAACAAATAAAAGGCCCTGAACAGCTTTGGGACCAGGTTACCTGAAAGATCACCTGCCCCTGTATCGACCTGCATCAATCTGTATTAGTCTGACCCTCCTTGTCAGATATTCCTTCCCTAGCAGAGATCGTTCACATTTTAAAATGCTTCCCACCCCACCCCCGCTTCTCCTCCAGTTGCCATGGAGTCTAAAACATTACCAAATACCCCAAACAGATTGTAAATGATTGCCAGTGTGACTAATCTAATTCTGTCAGATGTGGTCTTAAGACTAGTTTGAACTGCAATGGGTTTGGCTATCTCTCAGCATAGAGATCAGCATCGCCAGCTGCCCTGATTTTGCTCTTATGAGACAGGTGTGTAACAAGAAGGTGTTGCTGCCATCTTGGTCCAAGAGACCATGATCATTGATAGATCTGTTATTGGACTTAACATTCATTGGTGAAAAGGATGGTAGGGCTGTTATATTAGGAAATAAGGGACTCGGCTATACAGCTGCAAATGAAACGTTTTGAACGCTTCGTAAAGTACAATATACAATTGTGACACCAGATGGCGAAAGTGAGCTATAGCAAATTCAATGAATTTTTCAAAACGGTTTTTTTTAAAAAAAGCATTTTCACAATGTTTTTAACGTGTGTGTAGATTCCACCCAAAACTGCAGAATGCTTTGTACGCTGAAAAGTGCTGTAGCAGGAATAACGTTGCTCCTTTTGAAAGCAATAGTGAATGAGGGAACAACGAGGTTTTCAAGTTTGTCGGTAAGTGATCAGAAGAGGGGAAATCAGAGAAAGAGGAAAATAATCAAGCAGAGATTGGACACAGCTTCCCTTTTCTTTGTTGGGCGTTCCTACTTCATGCTAACTGTTTCTTTGCAAGATCGTTTGCATTCTAAAGCTAAACGTTGCATTTTATCAGCCCAAAGGTCGTGTGCTGAAGCTCATTATGTTTGCAAGCTGAACCTTCACTGAAATCAATGAAGCTGACTTCAAGGGAGTTGTGCATAGGATTACAGCCACGCTGATCCTAATAAATGGGGTATTATTGTGTATGTGTACATGCATCAGTAGACCTACAGAGTTGGCGGCATTTCTGGACTCTCCTTGGGGACGTCATAATGAGCTTCTGCACTTCGAAAGTGCCCCACTACTCCATGGCCTAATGATGTTGCCTTGTGGTTAAGGGCAGAAGCTATCAAGAGGAAGTTCCGGATCCAGGTGTAAGATTCAAAATGTTGATGACTACAAAAAAATGCCAAGATCCTAGTTATTGAGTACTATGTGTCCTGTTAGCTTTGCCACGTCAATGTTCAGAAACTGTTCCCTTTGTTTCCAGAGAGAACCTTCCTTATGAAGTTCATGTTTCTGCAAGGTGAGGTCCAGCAAAAACCTGCTATACCTCTCCTTTTTGTAAATATTTGTCTGAAACTCACTCGGCTTGTTGAAGTATGTTCATGCTTCAGTCACTCTGAGCTCTGCACTGATCCATACAATCTTTCTGGCAATCCTTCTGAGCTGTCTCCGGGTCAAGATTCTGATCTCCGTCAAGCCAGGCACCTGGTAATGTTTGCAAGTGCACCGTGTTCTGCATGCTGCTCAGTCCCGGCCCTACTATCGGGCAGGATGAGGTGGCCACCTCAGGCAGCAGGTGTTGGGGAGCAGGGCAGTGTTGAGGGTGTTGGGGGACAGGCCTGTGTTTTCCACGCAGACTGTCTGCACCCTCTAAACCAGCCTGCTGCCCTCAGGTATGGTGGGAGATACGCTGTCCTGTTACCAGCATTGAAATAAGATTCAACCGGCCGTCCAGTCAGCTTCTGTACATGGAATAGGAGGAAGGGCGCCATCTTGCCTTTTGCCACAGGCGGCAAAATGTCTTGAGCCAGCCTTGGTACTGCTGCACAAAACAAAAGCCACTATTATTCTCATAGGCCGAGGTGGGAAACTTCTTTAGTTCAGCAAGCCTGATCCTTATCTGCCCCCCACCCCATAGGCCAGCTCTGGCAAATGGGCAGGACAATCCACCTGTCAATCACTTGATGTCATCACGATATTGGCAGGTGGTTTGTCCTATCAAAGCCCCTTGTTCGGCTCTCCCCAAGTGTCTGGCAGTGCCTTGGTTTTCGGGCACTTACGAACCATAGAGCAAGGAGATTTGCCAACCATCTGTCAAATGTTTGGGAAGCAGCATGCAAAGAGCATAGGAGTGGCTTTCAGCAAGTGTTGAAAAGTGTGCACTCTTTCACACAAGCCCTTGGACATGTGTAGAGAAAGCTTGTGCCTGCATTCAGTGTAACGTGTGAACAAGCCTTTTGTTTCCGTTTTTGGCCAGAGCAAGGAGGAGCTCCCGACCCCAGTCTGGAGATACCTTCCTGTCTACTCATTGCCATCGATTTCTTTGGTTTCGAACATTTTGGGATGTCGGCAAATTAATTCAGCTTCTCTTTGCGAGAACAAAGTCCAGTCCTCTTCGGTGAGGAGCTCAGGGTTACGTAAGAGCGAGAGGGATGAATAACAACCAGAGGCTGTTCCTTTCTCCTGACAGATTGCCCAGGAACTGGCGTCTCCCTGCTCCTCTCATTTTACACTCAAATATCCAAGTGGGAACACTTGTTTGTCACAAAGGCCGAGGGATCGCAAAACAAAAGGCTCTCCAGCTTCTCATTTTCCTTTACTTTAGAGGGCAAATTAAATAGGTTTTCAAGGTTGTTTCTTTCTTCCGCGGCCTCCAACGTTTCAAAAAAATTCATTTCAATGTGACAAGTGGAGAGTTTTTGGGGGGAGTCAACAACCATTGGATATCAAAGCCAGTGTATGACTTCAGCAAGAGCATTTTATGTGGCAAAGGGACTTTCATAAACTAGAGAGGCAGTGTGGTGTAGTGATTGGTGCATCAGACTCTGACTGGCAGAAACTTGGTCTAGATCCCTATTCAGCCATGAAGTTCACTGAGTGACTTTGGCCCTATCACACATCTAAACTCAACCTACCTCAGGGTGGGCATGAGGATGAAAGTGGGGTGGGGAGACTTAGGAACATAGGGAGCTGCCTTATGCTGAGTCAGACCATTAGTCCACCGACCCCAGTATTGTCTACACTGGCTGGCAGAGGCTCTGCAGGGTTTCAGACAGGTGTTTCTCCAAACCCCACCTGGAGATGCCAAGGACTAGACCTGGGACCTTTTGCTGATGCTCTGACCATGTTTGTCACCTTTTCCTTGGAACAAAGGTGGGATATACCGTATTTTTTGCACCATAACACTCACTTTTTTCCTCCTAGAAAGTAAGGGGAAATGTCTGTGCGTGTTATGGAGGGAATGCCTATGGGTGGCATGCCTACGGATTTTCCTCCTCTAAAAACTACATGCGTGTTATGGTCGGGTGCGTGTTATAGAGCGAAAAATACGGTAAATGTTTTAACCACATACAGTGGTACCTCGGGTTAAGTTCTGGAGGTCCGTTCTGAACCTGAAACTGTTCTTAACCTGAGGCACCACTTCAGCTAATGGGGCCTCCCGCTGCCGCCGCATGATTTCTGTTCTCACCCTGAAGCAAAGTTCTTAACCCTAGGTACTATTTCTGGGTTAGCGGAGTCTGTAACCTGAAGTGTCTGTAACCTGAGGTACCACTGTATCGATCTGGCAACGAACAGGCTCTAGGTTCTTCCCTGGTTTTGTAGCAGCTCCTCTGAGGCAATAAAGTGGGACTGAGCTGCTTGATCTCACTGCACCCATGATGGAAACATCCTTCCCTTAGAATCACAGAGTTGGAAGCAACTCTGAGGATCATCTAGTCCAAACCTCTGCAATGCAGGAATATTCCCTTTATGGGGAATTGAACCAGCAACCTTGACATTATCAGCACCACACTCTAACCACCCAGGACCATTGCTGGCAAGTTGGGAGTCATTTTGCAATCATTATCAAAACTTGTGGGGGAGGTCAATCTTATGGCCATCTTACAGATGAGAAGCTCAGGCTGGAGATAGCAACGTAATGCAGAAAGAAAGGTCTCGTTAATAATAATAATAATTTATTATTTATAGCCCACCCATCTGGCTGGGTTTCCCCAGTCACTCTGGGAGACTCCCAACAGAATATTAAAAACACGATAAAACATCAAACTTTAAAAACTTCCCTATACAGGGCTGCCTTCAGATATCTTCTAAAAGTCAGGTAGTTGTTTATTTCATTGACATCTGATGGGCAGGTGCCACCACCGAGAAGGCCCTCTACCTAGTTCCCTGTAACTTCGCTTCTCACAGTGAGGGAACCGCCAGAAGGCCCTTGGCACTGGATCTCAGTGTCTGGGCAGAACGATGGCGATGGAGACGCTCCTTCAGGTATACTGGGCTGAGGCCGTTTAGGGCAGGCTTCCTGAAACTCGGCCCTCCAGATGTTTTTGGCCTACAACTCCCATGATCCCTAGCTAGCAGGACCAGTGGTCAGGGATGATGGGAATTGTAGTCTCAAAACATCTGAAGGGCTGAGTTTGAGGAAGCCTGGTTTAGGGCTTTAAAGGTCAGCACCAACATTTTGAATTGTGCTCAGAAACATACTGGGAGCCAATGTAGGTCTTTCAGGACCAGTCTCATGGAGCTCTCCCTCCACTACCTGGCTTGTAGTATTGCCATATCGCCTGCAAGGAAGCTTCCAGGTGACCTGTTCATTGAACATTCACCCTGAACTGTTTTGGCAGGGAGTTCGGATGAAGTTGGCTATTCATTGAGCATCCATTCTGACATGCTGGTGGAGATGTTAGACACCACTGCACCAAAGCAAGTTCATTTCTCCATCGCTTTGCTTATCGCAAAAATGAAACAAAACCCAGCCTTTTGGGGAAATTAGTTTGCTGGGCAAAACCTCCCAGTCAACCCAAATTTGCTGGCATGTGACCAGTGGCGTAGCGTGGGTTGTCAGCACCTGGGGCAAGGCAAGTAATTTGCGCCCCCTAACCCGTGGATTTGTGCCCCCTAACCCGTGGATTTGCGCCCCCTAACCTGTGGATTTGCCCTAACCCCAGATGTTGCGCCCGGTGTGACCGGCCCCCCCTGCACCCCCCACGCTACGCCACTGCATGTGACTGAACCCCACCTGAAAATAGTGGCAGTCTGGATTCTGGAATCACCCCAAGATTCTTGCTTCCAAAGCTGTGGAAGAAGGATTTAAAAACCACACACACTGTTTCTGAAAAAGCTGTACAAAGGAAGGAGCTGTTCCAACAAGGATCATTCCTAGATGTGGAGCTGCACTTTCCTGAGTACAGCAGGTGTTTCTTGTTTCGTAAGAGGCCAGGGTGAGCTGCAGGTCTGTGTCCCAACAACTGTGGCCGAGCTAGACAAAACTAGCCAGCCTCTCTTTCCCTGCTAGCCGAATGAGGTTTGCGACTGCTGCAAAACAATTTGGTGCACGGAGCGGCTGGATCCGCTACCCTGCAGCGTTTAATTGCAGCATTGAACTTTTCGCCCCAATTATGCTGATGTAATCAGTTGTGATCTATTTTTCTCCCCTTCCCTTGACCCCCCCTGCCCCACCCCGGTGGGACGCTAGCCCAGTTAGCATGCAATGCAGCAGGAAGCCGCTTCAACACTGTGAATTCTGTTTTTTTACCTATATGGGTTTTATCAGGTCGTAATTCACTTAACGCTGCCCTGCTTCTTCTCTGATCTCACTCTGACATTTCCAACGTTTGGTACATGTCCGGCAATATCACTATGGCATGCAGGGCGTAGACAGTCACAGAAGTGGGGGAATGGGGCAGAAAGGTGGGGGGAAATGGAGTTCGAGCTGAATATTTTAGGCAGCATGGCCCAATGGTCAAGGATGACGAGAGTCGTTGGGGCTGCCATACATCCGGATTTTTCCAGACATTACCGGGATTTCAAAGGCGGAAGTGACATCCAGGGTGAATTTCCGGAAAGCTCAACAATTTTGGGGTGTTTTAAGCTCAAGAACTCTGGGTTCTGACTAACGAAGAGCTCGACAACTTTCAGGGTGTCCTGGTTTTTTACTTTTTGAAAGATGGCTACCCTAGGAGTTGTAGCCCCAGCATTTGCAGGGTACCATGTCGTTGCTTGGACGCGGGTGGCGCAGTGGGTTAAACCACAGAGCCTAGGACTTGCCGATCAGAAGGTCGGTGGTTCGAATCCCCGCGACGGGGTGAGCTCCCGTTGCTTGGTCCCTGCTCCTGCCAACCTAGCAGTTCGAAAGCACATCAAAGTGCAAGTAGATAAATAGGTACCGCTCCGGCAGGAAGGTAAACGGCGTTTCCGTGCGCTGCTCTGGTTCGCCAGAAGCGGCTTAGTCATGCCGGCCACATGACGCGGAAGCTGTACGCCAGCTCCCTCGGCCAGTAAAGCGAGATGAGTGCCGCAACCCCGGAGTCGGCCACGACTGGACCTAATGGTCAGGGGTCCCTTTACCTTTACTATGTCGTTGCCTACGTTGCTGGAGGGTCACTCAAAGGACCACCACTCATGCATTGAGGAAGGGAGTGGCGTTGAGCCCGCCAGACCCACTCGCGCAGCACCCACATTGCCAACCGGCTCTAGAGATCTGGGGCCCAGTGCACACAAGCTGAGAACAGGAGGACCTAAGAACATAAGAAGAACCCATCTGGATCAGGCCAGTGTCCAGCATCCTGTTCTCCTGTGCCTGTGGGAAGTCAGAGAGCAGGGCATGAGTTCAACAGCCCTCTGCCTGCCTGCAAATCCCAGCCACTGGCCTTCGGAAACGCATTACCTCTGACAGTGGAACATAGCCGTCATGGCTAGTAGCCACAGAGAAATCGCTTCCATGCAAGGGGGAATCCTGGACCAATCAGGATTGCCTTGTATGGGGGGGGGCGGGTTGTGGAGCTCTATGCACAGGGATGGTTGGTGAGCATTGTGGCTCATGTGTGCAATGCCAGGATGCACAGCAATTATAAATCACACACAGAGAGAGAGGGGGAGAGAGAGCTTTTTTTCCAGCCAGAACTCAGATCTGGCACCTCTCAGGGGGACGCCATTGCCATTATAAGAGAACAAAGGAGGCGTTCGTAGTGGGTTCCGGCACATTCTTTCAAGAGGTGAGGGGATCTGTGTGGAACTCTCCACACACAGAGTCAAAACATGAGTTAGTCCTCCGAAAGCTTAGAGAGCTCAGTTCAAATGCCATGTAAGAGGTCCAGTGCAAACTGCTTACAGTGGTACCTCGGGTTAAGAACTTAATTCGTTCCGGAGGTCCATTCTTAACCTGAAACTGTTCTTAACCTGAAGCACCACTTTAGCTAATGGGGCCTCCTGCTGCCGCCACACGATTTCTGTTCTCATCCTGAAGCAAAGTTCTTAACCTGAAGTACTATTTCTGGGTTAGCAGAGTCTGTAACCTGAAGCATCTGTAACCTGAAGCGTCTGTAACCCGAGATACCACTGTACTTACTGTCATGGAATGACATTGCTCAAGTAGTCTTTGTAATCCGGAAGCGCACAGACTTGAGATGATTCATATATACAGTATATATCTGGAAGAAGAAGAAATAATAATAATAATAACCCAGAGTCCTTCTTTCTTTCTCTCCTCCCCCTCTTTCCCCCTCTCTCCTAGCATCTATGTATACTGAAATACAGAGAGAGAGGCCAGATATTGGGAATATCATGACTCATCCAGATTACATTGATGGAAACCCTGACCTTATCAAACCTAAAAAGCTGCTCAACCCTGTAAGAGCCTCGAAAAGCCATCAAGAACTTCACAGGGAGCTGCTTATGAATCACAAGAGGTGAGGAAAAAGATCCGGCACAGCGGTTTACTGCACCCTAACCTCAAAGTGAGTAGAATTATGAACTAGGAAGAAGCAGCAGGTCCCGTGTCTATGCCCAGTTGTACCGCTGACCTGCATAGTTTATTCCACTTGTGAAAACTGGAATATGCCATGTCCTTCCACATCCCAGACTATGGATTTTTTTTTCCTCCAGGTCTTGGGCCTGTGAGCTGGGGGTTGGGCGCAGGGGATAGATTTTAAGAGTCTTTCTTAGAGCCATATTTTTTTGTAAAAAAATACTAATTGCAGAATAAAAGCCAGGAGTCATAATAAAGGGCAGGGATTGGTGTGAAGCAAATAGATCCTTCCCTCCAATTAGCATGAGTCTCATTGGGAAATGGCACCTTTTGTAGCTTTTTCCCGCAAGCCACAAGTACTAGGAAGTTGCTCTGTTAAATGAAAAAGAAAGCTGACATTTTAAGCACAGAAGCCTCCACGCACCCTAGAATAGAGCTATACAGCGGTACCTCTGGTTAAGAACTTAATTCGTTCTGGAGGTCCGTTCATAACCTGAAACTGTTCTTAACCTGAGGTACCACTTTAGCTAATAGGGCCTCCCGCTGCTGCCGCACCATCACCATCGCAATTTCTGTTCTCATCCTGAGGTAAAGTTCTTAACCTGAGGTACTATTTCCAGGTTAGCGGAGTCTGTAACCTGAAGCATTTGTAACCTGAAGTGTTTGTAACCCGAGGTACCACTGTATAGTCATTTTGAGCAGTAGTGATTAGGGTAGTAGACCATAGCTGAGCAGTAGGGCATGTGCTTTATAATGTTTATATGAAGAAATTCCCTGGCGCCCCCGCTTTAAAGGATCAGGTAGCAAGTGGCTCCTCCACAGACCCTGGTCTGCCCTTGCTAGTCATGGAGCAAGATGGGGAAATAGATGCACCTGCCAGGATTCTGATAATCCATGCCAGATTCTGGAATTCTAGCCCTGGAATCAATGTGAATGTCTCCATAACTATTCCAATTAGCACAGGTGGGCCTTTCCTTTTAAAATTTATCCATCCTTACTCTTTCGTTTCCCCCCTTTTAACATTCACCTGCTGGTTCAATGCACTACAATGTCCACAGCTCTTTTGTTTCTCTTAAAAAATAAATAAATCATTATTTAAAATCACAAAGCCTGAGTGGACATGCACTCCTACACCAGAGAAGCCTGCACACAATTCAAGTCACGTTTCGTAATCTCGCCTTGGGTTCTTGCAGCGTCAATAGAGCCAGAAGAACGTCAGCTCCCGCCCAAGATTTCCCCAAACTCTCCGAAGAGGTACATATATTTATAGATGAAAGGAAGACAGGGTTGCTTGCAAAGGTCCTCCTAGATAAAAGGAAGCAGAAGAGCTGGTAAATATCCTGTCCGCTTCCAAGCCACATCCGCTCGCATTGTTTGTTTTATGAAGCATGAATCTTGTTTGAAAAGGGCAGGCAGGGGGCAGTTAGGCTATGGAGTGAGCTGTTCAGATTGGATAATTAGCATATGTATTTATTCGTGCATTCGTTCATTTATAAATTTGTATTCAACCTTTCAGGGCAAAAAAACCAACAACACCCTCCCTAGCTGGCTTAGAACAAGAACAATCATTTGTGGTGGGTGGCTAGAAAAGAGCTGTAGCTCAGAGGTAGTGGGTCTGCTTTGAATGCAGAAGATTCCTGGTTCAGTCCCTGACATTCCTGCCTAAAACTCTGGAGAGCTTCTGCCAGTCAATGTAGGCAGTATTGAGCTAGATGATCAGGGCCGTCTTACCCATAGGCACTAGGGGTGCTGGGCACCCAGGCACCGGGCTCTCAGGGCATAGCTGTCAACTTACAGATTTGAAAATAAGGGACCAGCAGCCTTGAAACTAAGGGATCAGCAGCCAAAATAAGGGATTTTCCAAGCACAGGTATGTTCAACTTCTGAGCCCCTCCGAGCCAAAGGCAGAAAGCCCAGCCAGCAGCCAAGCGAAGCCTCAAGCGGTGGTTCCCACAGCGCAGCAACCCAGCAAAGGGGATGCAGCAAGAAAAACCACCGTCACCTCTCCGCTGGGAAGCGCTGAGCAAAGGCGAGTCCCCAGGCAACGCGGCCGATTTGATCGGCACAAGGCATGCAAGCTCCACCCCCCCAGTCGTTCTTAGACTCCTTATTGGGTGAGCAACGCAGCCAAGCAACACAGTTGGAGCCTCCCTGACCGCAGGGAGGGAGAGAGAGGAGCTGCTTCCTTTGAAACCCAGGAAATTTAAGGGTCATCATCAATAAGGGACAGCAGCGGGACACGGCGCTGGGATAAGGGACTTTCCCGCCAAATAAGGGACGGTTGACAGCTATGTCTCAGGGGCACCAAGCTGAGAGTTCAGGGCCCGAAAGTTGAGTCTGGGGAAGAGCCCGCCCGTCGGTTGGGGCACCGCGGTGGGCTCAAACTCTGCACCACGAGTTTGGGGGCAACAGAGCCAGCGAGATGCTGAGGCGGCCGGCCAGCTCCTCCCTCCTGCGCACCTGGGACCGGGGAACCTGGGGAGGGGCACCAGGCGGATCTTTGCACCCCAGCACCGCATATACTTAAGACAGCCCTGTAGATGATGGACCAATGGCCTGGCTCAGTTTAAGGCAGCTTCCTATGTTCCTCTGTAGATTTAAGACAGCCCCCAAACCCAGATAATAATGGCAGCAGCTAACAACCAGCATGCTTACCATGGAGTTGGGAGCTCTTTTTATTCCATGCTGTGTGTATCCTGCCTGCTTCCATCTGATAAGATTAGGATCTGGCACAGAATTCATCATCTTCACAATCTTAATACCTACCTGTGCTGGAAGCGTATTGGTTTGAATACCAGTTTAATTGTCGCAACATCTTCGAAACGGCCTCAGGCCTGAAGCATGTTTAGTGCCCATCTAAATACAGCAGAGATCTTGGAGATCTGCAGTTGCCTCAGCAGGCAACATATCAGATCTGAAGGAATCTGCAGGTCCTGGTCCCCCTGCTCCAGGATCTGATCCCTATCTCCAGGTTGAAAATCCAAGGCAGGTTACTGAGCTTGGAGCAGATTTTGCTCTCCTTTTCTGTGGGTCCTCAGCACTTGCTTTTAGCTGTACGGTGGTACCTTGGTTCTCAGACTTAATCCGTTCCGGAAGTCCGTTCCAAAACCAAAGCGTCCCAAAACCAAGGCACGCTTTCCCATAGAAAGTAATGCAAAATGGATTAATCCGTTCCAGACTTTTAAAAACAACCCCTAAAACAGCAATTTAACATGAATTTTACTATCTAACAAGAGCACTGATCCATAAAATGAAAGCAATAATCAATGTGCTTTATTATAAAATAAATAAGACAGTATTGTAGATGATAAAAATTACAATTTTTCCCCTTACCTGTACTGATGATAGTCATTGTTTGGATGGAGGGCTTTTATCCATTTCCACAGTCACGCAATCAAGCAAACGGTAGCTGAACTGGGTTCCACACAGTCACAAAAACAAATTAACCGAAAAAGCCTCAAAAACAAAAACGCAAAATAAATAGCAAAAACAAAAGCACCAAACTTAATCCATTCTGGAAGTCCGTTTGATGTCTGAAATGTTCAAAAACCATGCACAGCTTTCTGATTGGTGCAGGTGCCCGGAAACAACAGCCGCATCGGATGTTCGGCTTCCAAAAAATGTTCGAAAACCAGAACACTTGTTTCCGGGTTTTTGGTGTTTGAGAACCAAGGCGTTTGAGTACCAAGGCATTTGAAAACCAAGGTACCACTGTATATATTTATTTCACAAGCTTGGACATAGAAGGGGGCCTCTCTAAGACTCCCATCTACAATATACTTTTAAAACCGTATCATACCTCTTTATCCAGTCAGGGCTTTCTCCGTTTGTTAAGGGTGCTGGGAGTTGTCAGTTACCTCTGTTTGCCTCACAGAGATTCAGTGGTTTAACAGTCAACTCATCTTCCTAGGGAACAAACCACAACCCCCAGGGTTAGTTGTTGAGTGGGGAGGAGGCACAACTATAGGGTGCAGATGTTGCCTTATACAGCGAGACCGTTGGTCCCTCCAGTCCAGACATGATTGACCAAGCTCTCTGCCAGTTCATTTGATGTTTGTTGTTGTTGTTGTTAAAAACAGTCAAGATCCTGATAAGCTGCAAGGGACGTCATCTGAGCAGGGTGACCAAAACATCACAGAATGTAAACAGTAGCATTAGAGCAAAAAACCCATTCAAACACACCACACTGACTAAGGCCACACATCCGCACCGTGCAGTTATAGCAATCTCATGCCACATTAACAGCCATTGAATCCTGACCCAACTTTGCTCAAGTCATTATGATGGGCAATGGCCAATGCTTACAGTACTGAACTTAAGTGCAGAACAATTTGTGCAGGAACTATTTGCAGCAAAAACTGCCAGAGGTATTCTAATGTAAGATTATTGGTTGAATTACTCCCCCTGCTGGTGGATGGTAAAGCAGTGGCTGAGATTTATTTTTATTTTTTAAGTTGGTCAAACTTTGAAATGTTATGCTTAATTAAAACATTTTCTTTTTACACTTTTTCCATACAATTTTAAGGGTACACCCAGTTGATCACAGAGAGTAGCAGGGCGGGGAATAATTTTGGATAAAGCTTTTGCGCTGATGCGTGATTTGTCATACATAAAGTTGCCTCACTGATCAAATATTCTCAAATATTTTTCATTGTCATGAAGTGGGACCTCCAGGAGTCTGTAACTTTCTTATTCCCATTCATTCATTTCTTATATTTCTATGCCGCTTTTCACTCTCATGAGTCACAAAGCGGCTTACATACGATAAATAACAACATAGCAGAACATTGCAATTGCAACAGAGATGATATACAAATTGCCAAGTCATCAATAAAGTGACCACCTCCTATAAAACATTAACAAAACAACGTTAAAAAAATAGATAACAGCCCAACCACGAGAAAAGTCATATTATAAAGTTCACAAAGTGCTTACAATCCACAAAACAGTACAGTGGTACCTCTGGTTAAGAACTTAATTCGTTCTGGAGGTCCGTTCTTAACCTGAAACTGTTCTTAACCTGAGGTACCACTTTAGCTAATGGGGCCTCCCGCTGCCACCGTGCCGCCGTTGTGTGATTTCTGTTCTCATCCTGAGGTAAAGTTCTTAACCCAAGGTACTATTTCTGGGTTAGCGGAGTCTGTAACCTGAAGCGTCTGTAACCTGAAGCATCTGTAACCCGAGGTACCACTGTATTAACAACAATATTAATAAACAAGCAAGCAAAAAACAAACTAAGCACTGCTGAATTCACGTGCTCTCTCTCTCTCTCCCCACACCTCCCCATGACTCATAGTCTTCTACTCAGTTCATGAAAAAACACATTCACATTATGGTGATGGTAGCAACTTCTTTTTGAAATCTCTGAGGGCTCCGAGGGCTGGTGTGGGGCAAGGCAGGTGGAAAAAGCCCTTGCCTGGTGGTCAGCACAGAATCTCCTTCCCCTTCCCATCCATGCTGCAGTTGGGTCATTTTTAGACTCTGAACTTAGCAGTCTTACGGGGTTTGGGAATGCCCTTTAGATGGCCATGTGCATTACCTTGCTTACTCTAAAAGGTGGCAAGCCAGCCCTCCTTTGTCTTGGGGGTGGGGGCTCCTGCTTATTCCACTTGGTGGGGAAATGGTACCTTCTGTCTTAACCCCCGGCCCTGCCAGCAAGCAACCACAAATTCCCATCACTTTCTTTCTGGCCAATGGAACTGTTCCTGTGCCCAGTCAGCCTGAATTGGTTACTCAGGAAGACTCCACCTGACACCTCCTCTCATATCCTTGGCTGAGAGGAAGGCACAGCACATGGTTGACCACACCACTAACCCGCTACCATTCCTCGCCCCTCTTTTTTTTTAGGGTGGCCAAATTGTAAAAAGGACAGGTTTTTGTAGCACCTTTAAGCAACACCTGTTGAAATTCTAAGACACAGATAGATAATTTTTGGATAAATAAAAATGTTTGTGCTGCACCTGAAGGGCATTAGGTGAGTCTCTTTATGGAAATGATTCCATAGCTGGGGCACCTTTGTCCATAATCACTATACCTAAGTAGTTTTTCAAAAGGCAGTCCTGTACACACCTACCTGGGAGTAAGTCCCATTGAACTCAATGGGATGTCCTTCTTAGCAGTAGACATGTGTAGGATTGCAACACAAGGATGCAATTCTTTGCCCACTTTTCTTGTAATAAGCACCATTGAATTATGGGGATTACTTCTGAGCAGGGTTGCCCTGTTTGTTTCCCCGCAGGATACAACCATTTGCACTTGGCAGCTCAGCCTTAATTAACCTGCCCCTTTTCCCTCCTCGTTTCACAGAGGCTTGGGAGTCGAGAGCAAACCAGAACTGCAGCGAGTTCTGGAGCATCGGCGGCGGAACCAGCTAATCAGGCAGAGGAAAGAAGAGGAAGAGGCGAAGAAGTTGAAATCTCCCTTCGAGCAAGAGCTCCTGAAGAGGCAACAGAAGCTGGATCAGGTAGGACGCAGTTCTGAAATCTTGTTGCAATAAACCGCATCAGAAGTGCAGAGAAATCCACCCTGTACTTACTCTAAACAATCACATGGCGCTCTTCAGTCTTTTCACAAACAACTCTGCATTGGTAGGTTAGGGGAAAGATTTGTGGGTTTTTATGTGCAGTGCTGCTGTCGAGCTTCATACCAGAGCAGGTAAACCATCAGCAACTAATGTTTTGTGACCAGAGCGCTGTTTCCATCCTTAGCCATCCCTCTGGGCACCCCAGGCCAGCATTGGGTGTGGCCAAAAGTGGGCGCGACCATGTCACTGTCTCACATGCATGCCCACACAGAGGCATGCGGCCAACCCATGTCTCCCTCCCCACTCATCAAACGATCGATTAGATTGGTGGCTCCTGAACATTTTTGGTCCACCACCCCCTTTGTTCCATAAACTCGTCCCCAGTGGCCCCAACCCTTCAAGAAGTGCTATTCAGAACAGCAGTCTGCATGACCCACTCAGAAAAAGGCATACACAATAAAAATTTAAATCAGTAACAAATAAGTGAGAATTTATGCAGTATCCACTTAAAACGATTTAATTTAACTGATTCAACAAAAATGGATGATTCAGTCCTTTGCACCTCCAGTGCCCCCCTGCCATGCCTTTGACCATGGGTAGGCAAACTAAGGCCCGGGGGCCAGATCCAGCCCAATCGCCTTCTCAATCCAGCCCACAGACGGTCCGGGAATCAGCGTGTTTTTACATGAGTAGAATGTGTTCTATTATTTAAAATGCATCTCTGGGTTATTTGTGGGGCATAAGAATTCGTTCATTATTATTTTCAAAATATAGTCCGGCCCCCCACAAGGTCTGAGGGACAGTGGACTGCCCCCACTGAAGGTGGCTTCTTTGTATCCTGCTTACCCCACACTTTAACTGAACGGGCTGCCAAGATTGAACTGTGCTTTGCCACCAAACGAATCCATTTTTATTCTTAAACAAGCACCCAGCACTCAGCTCTTTGCCTTGTTGTTGTGCTGGGATGCATGCCAGGGATGCATGAGCAGCCCAGACTCCCAACCAACAGTAGGATAACAACTGATGAGTTTGCCAGGTGACTCTTTTCATGGCATGGGAAGATCAGTGTTATCACCTGTGAAGTCCAGTCTGCAAATCTTGTTGTCGGAGCCAATGGCAAGCGGACCCAGCTAATTCTAGTTTTGTGCCTTTGCTGAGACTAAGCAGGAGGAAGCAGAAAGGTCATGCCCCCTGTTACTTTGTTTGTAAGTAAGAAGATTGACAGAGAGGCAGGCTGGGGTTAGTGTGGCAGGGGGCCCGTTCACTGGAGCAAACCAGCCTTCATTGGCAAAGGGCACTCCTAAACCCCAGTCCTTGACATGACGTTGTGCAATTTACCTTTGCTCAGGACTCGCAGGAATATGCCTCAAGCTTTCACCTGCTGATCTGGATAAACCCTTTCGATCCAGGTTCTGCCGTCTGTAATGGGATTGCAGCCACCAGGCCGCCTAAGCCTCCTGCCCGAGCAGCAGAGCAGCTGCTTTCTATCCTGGCTTTAATCCCCAGATCTTAACACCACTTACAAGCTCTTCAATCCCCTTGAAGTCACCGAGAGCTCTAAGCTTGTAAACACCAGTTCAGGATTTCAAAATTTTTAAACCAGCCTGGCGAAACAGGGAAGGCAACCAAAACATTGTGCGTTGCACTCTTACCAGATAGAGATCTTAATTAAATTTTCGGCAGAGCGCCACACACATCTCTTGAAGGCACAATTATCAACATGTTGCCATGTTCATCCTTCTTGTTTCCATTAACACAGGCTGCTCCCTTCTCTCACGCTAGCTGGTAATTGCAGACATCGCTTAGTGGATGTTCCATGGCTTGGAAGACGCGTAGCGTGAGCTTAGCTGGAAATCTGCTGTAATTAAGCTCTTTTATTTATTTTTTTGCTTTTTGTTTTTAAAAAACATACCCCAAATACAATTTAAACGAAATACTCTCCTCCTCAAGCATTTAATTAAGAGTTCTTAACTCCTTTTATTTTATTTTAAAGCCTCCTGATTCTTATGATTATTAATTACTATTGTCTCAACTCAACCTGATTTCAGCAATTTCCTAATTATTCTGGCTTATTTGCGATTAAAGCTATTTGCTAGACACATGCTAAAGTACATGATCCGAGCATCCCTTCCCCCCCCCCTCCACTTAAAGCTTTTAGCAGCTGCCTTTCATTAGAAAAAAGGGGGGGGAGTGTAGATGGTGCAAGAGCAGGACTTTGAATGGGAGGAGATCAAAATGCATTCTCCCCGTACCTTAGTGGTACAGCATCTGCTTTGCTTGCAGAATGGTCAGTCCTTGGCATCTCCAGGTAGGGCAGAGAGAGACCCTAGTCTGACCCCTAGGCTGGAGAGGGGCTGCCAGTGAGCATATACAGTAGTACTAAGGAAGGTGGACCAATGAATCTGACTCCATGTAAGGAGACTTCCTATGTTTCCCCCGCTAAAAGTGTGGCAACATTCCAAGGAGGTTCGTGCTGCTAATCAGCCTTCCTTCCCATTCTACATCCTGCCTTTCTCAAACCAGAGAAGGGGATTATTTTGGCATAGGGTGGCAAGGAGGGCCACCCCTGCAAAACCATCCCCCACTCCCCACCAGTGAACCTCCTGTTTGTAGAAACCTCCGACTGGAATGTAGCCTGCTTGTACAGTGACCCCATGAACCAGAGCCCGCCAGGAACTCCTGTCTTCCACTGCCTCCCGCAGTTTGGTCAAACTCATGTTGGTAGCTTCGAGAACACTGTCCAACCATCTCGTCCTCTGTCGTCCCCTTCTCCTTGTGCCCTCCATCTTTCCCAACATCAGGATCTGTCCTTCCAGTGAGCACTCAGGGCTGATTTCCTTAAGAATGGAGAGGTTTGATCTTCTTGCAGTCCGTGGGACTCTCAAGAGTCTCCTCCAGCACCATAATTCAAAAGCATCCATTCTCCGGCGATCAGCCTTCTTTATGGTCCAGCTCTCACTTCCATACATCACTACTGGGAAAACCATAGCTTTAACTGTACAGACCTTTGTCGGCAAGGTGATGTCTCTGCTTTTTAAGGTATGCTGATCTGCAAATCTTTTTCGGATGAAGAGTGGGATTAAAATACAGTGGTACCTCGGGTTAAGTACTTAATTCGTTCCGGAGGTCCGTTCTTAACCTGAAACTGTACTTAACCTGAAGCACCACTTTAGCTAATGGGGCCTCCTGCTGCCGCCGTGCCGCCGCTGCATGATTTCTGTTCTCATCCTGAAGCAAAGTTCTTAACCTGAAGCACTATTTCTTGGTTAGCGGAGTCTGTAACCTGAAGCGTATGTAACCTGAAGTGTATGTAAACTGAGGTACCACTGTATCTTTAAACAGATAATAATAGAGAGTGCTGGGGACCTGATGGAGAGACATGGAGAGTTGCATTTCCGCCACCTCAGCCTGAGGTCTCCTTCCCCTCCCCCCACCTCTCCACACACAAACATATACACAGTTTTATTCATGTATATATCCTTCCTTTCTTCTCCCATCAGTTGGAGAGGGAGCAAGAGAAGCAAGAAGAAAACGCGCCAGAGTTTATTAAAGTAAAAGAGAACCTGAGGAGGACATCAACGCTAACTGGGGCGGAGAAGGTCGCCTAGCAGATGGGAGCAGCTGAGACCAAAATGGAAGAGGAGGACCTTCTCTGCTCGCTTGAATACCTACATGATGACATCTTCTTATATGGTGGACATTCGCAGTTACGTCTTTGGGGCTGCTTACTGTTTATTAACGCTTGCTCCGGTAGAAACTCCCCAACATGGGCTTTTGCTGTATATCTAGGAAGGAATAACATCGGTGTGGGGGGGCTGGGAAAGTTTGTGATGCTTTGCTAGTAGAAGCGTTTGGGTGGGGAGTAATAATAATGGCCTGAGCCTTCCTCTCGAGTAAACAGGCAATGCTGATGCCCTATCCCATCCCTTGTTAGCTCTGTGCTTAAACCTTGGAGATGCAACGTGTGGGCGATGGTCTATGAAGACTAGGCTGCCATATCAATGCCAGGGCTTCAAGATGCTCAGCAGCAGATACTAATGGTTGTAATAAATTTCAGGTTCAGTCGAGCTAATCTTTGGAGTAGCTTGTTGGAAAACCAGAGAAGGGGGCCAAAAAACGAAAGAAACGAAGAAGGGAAGAGGCTATCAGCGCCAGCTAACCGCTAGAGCTCACTCAGCTACGCTTTTGTCACTTTCTGCTGTGTCGAAGCAACACCCACCCAGAAAATGCAACCATGTCAATAAGCGTGTGAGTTTCCGTACTTCACTTGAAGTTCGTGAAAGGCTCCCAGGTCGAAGCCCCCACTTGAAACCTCAGAAAGCCACGGCTGGCCTGTGTTGACAGTACTGAGTGACAGACCAATGGTCTGACTCACGATAAGGCAAGCCTCCTATGTATTGCACCGCTGAGATTGTGGGTGTGGTGTCTCTTTGTGTCTGTGAGGATGTATTGGTCCTCTCTTAGATTCAGTCGTAAAATAGCATGTTAACTTAACATGTTACTACTGAAAGAGCAGGCCCGGGTTACAGTATATCATGCGGTCAGATGCAAAAACTTCTCAACCCTCGAGCTCTGACATGGGGAGTGGGGATCATATTCCAGAAGGGGCCTTTAGGAGCCGTATGGAAGGAATAAGAAACCATGCCTACAAATGTGTTGCTTTCAGAATATGGAGGAAGAAAATGGCGTCTCAGAGAGACGGGAAGTGGTGGCCTAATAAGAATCACAGCAGCTACATAGAGAGGGCCTGATGGGGCCCAGAGGCCTGTGGGACTCAGGTCAATGGCCTAACTCAGGCATGGCCAAACTTGGCCCTCCAGCTGTTTGGGGACTACAATTCCCATCATCCCTGACCATTGGTCCTGTTAGCTAGGGATGATGGGAGTTGTAGTCCCAAAAAAGCTGGAGGGCAAAGTTTGGCCATGTCTGCCCTGACTAGTCCAGCACCCTGTTCTCACAGTGGGAGACCCTTAGGCAGGACCCGAGTTCAAGAGTGCTCTCCTCTCCTGTGGTTTCCCCGCCACAGATTTTCAGGAGCAGTACTGCCTCAGACCGTGGAGACAGATAGCTATTGTGGCTAGTGGCCTTCACCATGAATCTGCTGGATCCTCTTTTAAAAGCCTCTGAGTTAGTGGCTGTTGCCGACTCCCGTGTGAGGGAGCTTCATGGTTTAACTGCACTGCGTAAGAAGGAGCAGTTCTATCGCACATAAAAGTATTTCCCTTATCTTTATTTCTTTGTTTAAAAAAGTAGGTCCTTCCAGCCGTCAGATCGTAGTTCCTTTCCCCCTCAGTGGTACAAAGTGAAGCAGGTGGGGAATTCTTCTTAAAGCAAGAAACAAAAGTTGAGAAATATTTTCCCCATGGAAAAATTTAGAATAGTAATGAGAAGTTGGTTCAAAGAGAGCCTCAAAGTGCCTTCACACAGGAAGGCTTGGCTTGGGACCAATTAATTCATAATACAACCTCCTGGTAGATATTAGGAATTTGTGTGTGTAAACACTGGGGCTCGCCATTCCAAATGTTCTGGAACAAGCCAGGGGCACCACGTCTGAAGGCTATGCAGAGATCTTTCTTGGGCAGTGTTTTAACAGCTCCTGGAGATCTTGTACTATATGAGTCAGAATTCAGCCTATACAGAGGTACCGGAAATTGTGCTTCCCAAAATGTCTGTTACTTTTCCTCGAAAGCGCATATTATTCTTATGATTACCCCAAAGAAACTCATTCTGTACCCTACTTAGGTATACTGTGCTATATAAACATAGTGATATCTGTGCACCTGCTGCATGTATATTATTGCACATGTTCATATTAACAACTTAACTGCCACCATTGCTTTCTTGGAGAGAGAACATTTTATCAAGAAGAAAAAACAGAACAAAACCTGAATTGATGAGTAATTGTATATTTTGCTAGATATTCTATGAATGAAAACAGCCGGCAGCCAAAATAAACTGATTTCATTTTTCTAAGGAACGGATGATCTTTTAAAACTACAACTTCAGGCTTAATCAAGGCGGGTGCTTCAACTTTCGTGGTCCTTTCCCCCAGGTGACCACCTTTTCATTAAGAGTTGCACACTGGGATCTCCTCCCAGGACCCATCTAGGGAGAAAGAAAGCATAGAGAGGGAGACCAGGAGCCACATTCCTAGCTGGGCAATGTTCTGCTGGTGGTGGACACAATCAGAGAAGAAAGTGGACAGAGCAAAAATGTAACTTTTATCTTCATAATAGTTGGCTAGTTTCTATACAGGAGGGCCCATGTGCCCCTCGCAGAGCTGCAATTACCGTAGTGGTTTAACAATCAATGCATCTTCAAGAGGAAATCTGAGAACTGTAGCCTCTATGAGGGAAAGAGGGGCTCCTAACCAACTCTAACCAACGACAGCTTAACAAACTACAGCTCCCAGAATTCTGTGCGGAAAAGCCACTAATTTTTAAAGTAATAGTAATAATAATAATAATAATTTATACCCTGCCCATCTGACTGGGTTTCCCCAGCCACTCTGGGCGGCTTCCAACAGAATATTAAAATACAATAGTCTATTAAACATTAAAAGCTTCCCTAAACAGGGCTGCCTTCAGATGCAAAGAATTCACAAAGCAATGCCATCTTCGCTATTTCCAAGTCGCTCGGTGGAAATAGCGAAATCTATTAGAGCACTTCACAATCCAAGGATGTATAATGCAGCCAGCTGTCTGGAACGAAGCAGCAGGTCTGGGTTTGGCCAACGTCTGGATAAAAGAGTGCCTGGGGACCTCATGAACGCTTCCACCTTGCTTTTCAGAAGCAAGATAGGATACAAATGCATTAATAATGATGGCGATGATATTTAGAATCTTTGAACGATGCAGAATCTCAAAAGGAGAATAAGGTCGCGAGATTCAGTTCCCCATTATTAATTTTGGGAGGGCAAATCCTTTGATGTGTCTCACCCGTTCGTTGTTCACAATATTCCCCCTGTGGCTGAGATACCGTATTTTTTGCTCTATAAGACTCACTTTTTCCCTCCTTATGGAGCGAATGCAGGCTGCGCAGCTATCACAGAAGCCAGAACAGCGAGAGGGATTGCTGCTTTGACTGTGCAGCGATCCCTCTTGCTGTTCTGGCTTCTGAGATTCAGATTTTTTTTTTCTTGTTTTCCTCCTCCAAAAACTAGGTGCGTCTTGTGGTCTGGTGCATCCTATAGAGCGAAAAATACGGTAATTAATGGGGTCCCATGAACACCTGAGAGCGTTGGCGATCCTTGCTCAATCCGGCCTCATTTCATAATAGCCATTTGGCAAGGATGCCAATCATCCTTAGAACACTTTGTGTTGGCAAAGAAGACAAAAGCAAATCCTGCCCTGGAGCAAAGAGGTTTCGACATCCCCAGGCAAGCCTGCCCTGTGTACGAGTTACATATCGATGCCCACAGCCCAAGCTCTCCCACTTCAACCCACCTTCACCTGAGCAGGTAGATGAACCACAAGGGAGCTAGCTTAGCACAGCATCCAAACCCAGGATCATGGTTTGTTTTGCACTCTTGCACCAAGGACAAGTTCTAGTGTCGCTGCTGCCAGAACTGCTTCGGGTCTGCTGTCTTCTAGTGTTTGGCTATAGCAAGTGCACCTGCAGTTAATGTTAACTTGTGGGTGAACATATCAGATGACACAGCTATTCTTCAAACTGTGTTTATTCACAGGGCAGAACAGAACTGAACTGAAGGGTTCAGCCAGCCTGCTTATACAGAGCTCCACTACAACGCAACAGCAACCACTTTCTGTAACTATCCAATCACTGAACGTCACTTTCAATCCCTTATTTGCATATGTGGACCTGAGTGAAAACTATCTACAGTATCCCCCTGCTGGCCCAGGGTGAGAACTTCAGTACATAACAGTTAATACAAGTATAGTTACATTCGCAGCACTTCAGCTTGAAGTTGCACAAGGCTTTGGTCTAGACTGAGCCTGACAAAAATGTTTAAACCACTGAACACATTGGTTTGCATCCATCTGTCTCGGGAGACAATGGAGGGGTGAGTTGAACCATTGAAAGGTTGCAACGTCTGCTGTGGTTATAAAGATCAATAAGGAAGAGACATGTTTTGTTGCAGCTGGGGCAGATGAAGGCGTCTGGTTGTGCTACTGCAGATGCAGCATGGCATTTCTTCTCTGTGCACTCCTCCCAGAAGTCATTCCTCCCTTGGTCACCGCTGCAGATAAACGTCCTGGCTGGCTGGCTCCAGGCACTGCGGTCGTCTGCAAGGGATTCCCACATCGTGGGGTCGATGCTGCCCATAGCTGTCAACCGTCCTTTATTTGGTGGGAAACTCCCTTATCCCAGCACCATGTCACTTATTGATGATGTCCCTTAAATTTCCCGGGTTTCAAAGGAAGCAGCTCCCCTCCCTCCCTCCCTGCCGGCCAGGGAGGAGGGAGGCTCCAACTGTGTTGCTTGCCTGCCCAGCCTGCCCCCTCCGGCCTCCTCTCACCAGCCTCGGCCCCCAGGAGCCCCTCCCCACCAGGACTGGCGGGAGCCTCAGGCCCTTCCGCCACCATTGTCCTTGCAGCCGCCAAACTGAGCATCTCTGCCTGGGGCCTCCCCTCTGCCCGCCGCCGCTCCCACTAGGCTGTACTGCGGCTGCGCCACCGAAGGACCCAGATGAGATGGGCAGCCTGGCGCAGCCTGTGAATTGCTGAGGAGCCTTGAGAGGAGAGCGAGGGCAACCAGAAAGAGGAGGAGGAGGCGGAGGCGCGGGCAGGTGTTCCAAGGGATAATCATAGAGAGGGGAAGCGGAGGAAGGTCCGCAAGCGCTTCTCCCATAGATTTGTAGTGGTAGACTAGCATAGATGGTCTGATCTACGGGTTTACTTCGGGCGCTATTTCCCCCCCCCTTCCTCCCGCCCCGCCTGATGGAACTGAGGGATGCAGATGGAGCACGAGAGAAAAGATATTATTTAATTGCAGTGTTTCATCAGCTGGTGTCTTGAGCAGCAACCTCTGGAAACGAAGGGCTAAAAACCGGCGCTGCTCTCCAAAATTATCTGGTCCCTTTTAACTTCACATTTCAGCTGGTTGTCTAAAATCCCTTATTTTGGCTGCTGATCCCTTATTTTCAAGGCTGCTGGTCCCTTATTTTCAAATCTGTAAGTTTACAGCTATGCCCAAGGGTCTCCGATCCTGACCCTTGGGAGCTTGGGACCATCACTCAGGGAAAGGATTTTGTGACAGAGTCCCGAGGGTCACCCAGCCTAACCCCTGGGAGGCAAGAACCGTTGCCATGGGAATGGGGCTGTCGCTATGGAAACGGAGCAGGGACCCAAGGGTCTCCGAGCCTCACCCTTGCGAGCTCAGGACCATCACTCAGGGAACGGGTTTTGTGATGTAGTCCCGAAGGTCACCTAGCCGGACCCCTGCGAGACAGGAATTGTTGCTGTGGAAATGGGACTGTCGCTATGGAAACGGTTTGTGCACTGGGCCTGCACAGCTCAACCATCCTGACCCTTGCGAGCTCAGGACCATCACTCAGGGAACGGGTTTTTTTACGGAGTCCCATCCAGCCTGATCCCTGAGAGGCAGGGGCCGTCGCTATGGAAACGGGACTGTTGCTATGGAGACGGGTTTTACGATGGGGACCCAAGGGCAATGCTGTCAACTGTCCCTTATTTGGCGGGAAACTCCCTTATCCCAGCGCCGTGTTCTGCTGCTGTCCCTTATTGATGATGTCCCTTAAATTTCCCGGGTTTCAAAGGAAGCAGCTCCCCTCCCTCCCTCCCTGCCGGCCAGAGAGGAGGGAGGCTCCAACTGTGTTGCTTGGCTGCCCGGCCCGCCCCCCTCCAGCCTCCTCTCACCAGCCTCGGCCCCCAGGAGCCCCTCCCCACCGGGACTGGTGGGAGCCTCGGACCCTTCCGCCGCCATCCTCCTCGTGGCCGCCGAACTGAGCGTCTCTGCCTGGGGCCTCCCCTCTGCCCGCCGCCGCTCCTGCTAGGCTGTACTGCGGCTGTGCCGCCGAAGGACCCAAATGAGATGGGTGGCCTGGCATGGTCTGTGAATTTTTGAGGAGCCTTGAGAGGAGAGCGAGGGCAACCATAGAGAAAGCAGAGAGAAAGAGAGAAGGTGGAGGTGTAGGCACTAGGGCTAACCATAGAGGGAGAAAGCGGAGGGACCGCAAATCCCATAGATTTGTAGTGGTAGACTAGCATAGATGGTCTGATCTACGGGTTTACTTCGGGCGCTATTCCCCCCCCTTCCTCCCGCCCTGCCTGATGGAACTGAGAGCTGCAGATGGAGCACGAGAGAAAAGATACAGAACTGCAGCAGCATCTTCATAGCTTGGACTTCGTTTTGCGTGAAAAGTGGTTGCTGCTTGTAGTTATTTAATTGCAGTGTTTCATCAGCTGGTGTCTTGAGCAGCAATCTCTGGAAACGAAGGGCTAAAAACCGGCGCTGCTCTCCAAAATTATCTGGTCCCTTTTAACTTCGCATTTCAGCTGGTTGTCTAAAACCCCTTATTTTGGCTGCTGATCCCTTAATTTTGAGGCTGCTGGTCCCTTATTTTCAAATCTGTAAGTTGACAGCTATGATGCTGCCAGACATAACCTATCATTTTCTAAGGGGGGAGGAATTTAAATCCCATTATATATAATTTACAGGCATAGACAAATCTGGTCCGGAACTGGGAGCCATCATCCAAAGGTAGGAGCCAGGATCAATACAGTGGTGCCTCGCAAGACGAAATTAATCCGTTCCGCGAGTCTCTTCGTCTTGCGGTTTTTTCGTCTTGTGAAGCACGGCTATTAGCGGCTTAGTGGCTATAAGCGGCTTAGCGGCTTAGCGGCTATTAGCGGCTTAGCGGCTATTAACGGCTTAGCGGCTTTAAGAAAAAGGAAACAAACTCGCAAGAACTTGCAAGACGTTTCGTCTTGCGAAGCAAGCCCATAGGGAAATTCGTCTTGCGGAACGACTCAAAAAACGGAAAACCCTTT